ATCAATAGTTTACGGAGTATTTGTTCTTATGAAACTATGCTCTATATAACAATGGTGTGGGTGATATTTACAAACAATAATAATGGTGTGGGTGATATTGTATCGAAAAAAAAAAATATAATAACGTGAATATAGAAATGATTAAAAACGTGAGAAGAAAAAAAAAGAATTTACTCTTTGATTGGGAAGTAAAAAAGAGAGAACATATGATGAGAAGGATTGCAAGTTGAAACTTTAACAAACCCATTTTGTTTGGAGGCGGGAAGATGTTTTTTCTTTTTCTTTGAAACTTAGAGAAAATGTTAAAAATGAGAGAACATATGATGAGAATATATACACGGAAGAGTCACGTTTCTGATATTGAAATATCATGTTGAAATTTGGTAACAATATTCTAATATTTGGTCGTATTTGCTTCCCATTAAATATATATTAGGCATGTACCCGCACCCTGCGCAAGGTAAAAATAACAAAAAATAGTATTTTAAAATAACAAATTACATTCAACACAATACATATTACTTATTTTAATTAAGAAACACATAATTTTGATATATTATACATATAATATTCCAAGAAATATAATTGAATAATCCAATCAAATATGATTTGAAAGATTAATAATCTAACATTATCAATAAAAGAAATAAAATATCGAGATGATAATAGACATATAATTATATAGTCTTTGGTAACTCTTCTTCATCTCTACAAACACAGTGAAAAATATAACACGTCCCGTATTGAGATTGGAGCTATTTTGTCGAAACCAAGCGTCTCCCATACCGAAAGATGTGTCTCGAGATATTTTATCTTCTTCTCAATCATTTCTCCTTCATATCAAGCGTAAATCTCGACCTAAGAATAGCTTTGCATGAAGATACCTCTAAGGGAGTATCTTGTTGTTTTTTTTCGATTAATTTATCTCTCATAATTCTTGTGTCCGTCTCTTCTTCCATATATCTCTCCCCCGGTGATCGTTTTCCTTCTTTTCTCGTCATTTGTTAAATTTTTATAGAATTTGAGACCTATATATGTACCTTAGTTTCTAAGTCGTCTTTTGTTGGATTTATTAAAATTAGAAAATGATGTGAATAAAAGCATATACTAACACTCAAACCATTTTTTGTTTATATTTTCCTTTCATCAAAAATTTCTCTAAAAGTCATTAGTCATTATTTTGTTCCATCAATAAATTTAAAATTTCATTAAAAACAAAAACATAAATGAAACATTTAAATATTCATATATGGTACAAACTATAGAATCATTTTTTCGAAGGAAATTTTCAAAAATCTTAGTTTTATATTAATTTATTAATGCGAAGAGTACAAAAATAAACACAAATCAACAAAAGTTACAAATTTTGTCAAGCCTCTAGGAGTAGTGAAGAACTAAAAAAAAGTTGTGGTTGGTTGTTGACCAACAAAAGCATGGGAGTAACACTTTGTCATTTCTCTCTCAGCAATCATTTGATATATAAAATATTAGTTAAGAAATTATTGCGGCTGGGATTTATGCTAATAACATATAAGAGATATTTCAAATTTTATGAATGTTATGACACTATTTAATGTTTTAGATTAATTAAAAACTAAATGGTTTAAAAACGAAAATATGTCGATTTTAAGGGGTACTAAACCTTAATATTGAACCCTAAACCCTTACATATGTACATTAAATATTTGAAAATTTTATATTTCTTGCTATTATGGAACATAAAATGCGAACTTTGAAT